ATGCTAGATTAGCATTTTTTAAATACATGATCCAATTTATTATACAAATTTTTTATACATTTTTCGTATTCGTGATAAACGTTTTTACTATACACATTTAACATTTTTCAGATGCTTGGTCAACATATTTCTAATGTTATTTTATAGAGTGTTTTTTTGTAATATATATGTTTAGAATATTTTAAAGTATAAAAAAATAAAAAGAAGCAAAAAAAGAAATAGAAAACGTAAAAAAGGAGGCTGTGGCCTCCCACGCTCCTGGGCAGGCTCATCTCGGTCTCTTCTTCAGTGAGGGTTCCTACCCTCTCGCTGAAGGCAAGATATAGGGGCGCCCGTGCGTCCCGGTCGGCATCATAGTGCTTTACAGGCCCAAAGCAAAACTTCGGGCCTGTCAGGACTCAGGAGAGCCCAGCTGGGCCGGAACGTCTCTCAGCCCATCAATTTGGCCAGCCCCCCTGAGAGGTAGAAGGTGACCCAGCGTCTCGCCGGTGGTCAGTAGTGGGCCTTCAGGGCTACGGTTTACCAGACTGGTTATGGCGAACACATGTAGATGGCATGCAAGGGCTTTGGCTCCACGTCTGTTGACAAGGCAGGACCAGTAGGAGCAAGGTGCAGATGGTGATCCATGGATCTAAGAGCATCGAGTAGTGTGCCTATCATTGGCAGGGCAATCTACAGCTCTACCATCTCTCCTTGTCTCGGGATCGAGGCAGCAGAAGGAGCATGCTGCTCCTGGGCGGCCAAATTCATTGTTTTGACCCTTTTTTCGAAACTTCACTACGATCTGACCCCATTTTCAAAAAAAAAAAAAACAGGATCCGATCCTTTTCCTACAACCATTGACTTTGGCGGTAGCATATCACAGCCTACCGCCAAGGTCTCTGGCAGTAGGACTTACATGCGCCATCACACCCGTTTAATGTGAAAAGGACGCTATCGCCATGGTCCTTGGTGGTAGGATATTCACCGTTGTGTATTGCATGCATGATCATATAAAAATTGCATGCATGTCCCTACCACCAAGGACCTTGGAGGTAGGGTGTTTTCCGCATCGAACGGGCGTGACGGTGTAGGTAGTCCTACCACAGTGGCCTCGGTGATAGGATGTGCTAGCCTGTCGTCAAGGACAGTAGCAGAAGAAAAAAGGGTCAGATATGAAATTTTTATAAAGTGGGGTCAGATCATGGTGAAGTTTCGAAAAGGGGTCAAAACACTGAATGTGGCCCTCTTGGTTGGCACTGGATGGGCAACTCCATCACGTGGATGAGAGGAGCCGCATCGGTGTCATCATGCGATAGGACTATACATAAGTTTATCTGTTAGATTTAAAATTGCCTGTTTGCTTGCACAATTTCTACCGTAAAGGTGAGGTAAGAAAAACCTTTTTGATATTCTATGGGACAACACTGATTCTATCTATTCACTTCGAGCTTATGGCAACCTGTACCAAATTTGAATTTTTTTTCATAGTAGCTGCATGACCATTTGGAGTTGCTTTTATGTGTTTTTAGGGATGCTTTTTCTATGTGTAGCTCTTAATTTCATACAGATGTATTTTATCTTGTATAAATACTGGTGCAACTATTTCATGCTTTGAGGATCTATTCCATTTCAGTGCATTCTTAAATAATTACCTTCTCTATATGTGAGCAGCCACGTGAACAAAGTATACATTTTACTTCATTTGGTTGGTGTTACTAGAACCTTCGCCTAATTGGTGGTCTCATGTCAATGTCATGTTATATCCTTGATTTGACAATCAGATATGTAGTGGACATCGCCGTCTTAAGATGAGCATGCTATTGTTACTCACCAATCACGTGGCGGTATTTACCCAGGTAGTTTCCACGAAGGCAATTTTTTTATTTACGTGGAGGTTTAGTTATTCTTGTCCACAATTTATGAGGAAGTGTGTCCCTACTGTAATCAGGTTTCACTCAAGAACTAGTTGACACTTCCATGCTCTTCTCAAGCACCTACTTCTACTTTTACTAAAAAGAGGAGCCCATGGCTCAGGCTCGAGATGGTAGCAAAGCGAGGCGTGAATACGTGTTCTGAGCGTGTAGCTCCATAGCTACGCCCAGTGCACATTAACAACAAAATAATTACGGTGAATTCTGCTACCATTGCAGGAGAAACCACCCACAACTCCTCCTCCGGAGCCATCCGTTGCACCACGCGTGCCACACATGCGTACCACATGGGGACCAATGAAACAGCCGGAAAAAGGCCCCGCGCGCGACTCAGCGCTACTACCGCCACGCGCCCCCGCCTGGCGGGGCCGAACCATCCCGACGCAAGGCAAAGGCGCCGATAGGCGGGTCTGACTGAATTGTTGTGCGCAGGGCAGCAAACGAAAGGGCTCTCACTGGCGCGCCGGAAGCTGCCCCGTGCTGATGGTCCCGAGCGCGCCCGCGTCCCACCCGTCATGGACCACCAAGGTCGGTCGTCCGGTTGCTCATCGTCGAGGCAGATCGGACGGCACAGAGAACCCTCGAAAGACCCACGCGACACGCAACCTGAAAACGGACGGCATGAAGGGCGGCACTCTTGCCCGCAAAGCCCCCTAGGAGGTGGGTATTCTGTTATACTTTAAAGGAGTGATAAAATAATGCAACATGCAAAGAAGAAAATCCTAGCTTAAAAGTTCCTAACAAACCAATAAGCCACAACAATCTAACCCACCAAAGGCTCGGCCCAACAAACAAATGATGTCATTTTGGTTGTGACATAACTCATTCACACATCTAGACTTGCTGTAGACAAACCCATTCATATAACTTACGTGTATAATGATGACGCTAATGATTTCACACACATGCTAAGAACTCAATGAAGTAGTGTTTCCAGAAATAACTTAGTGGACTAGTGGCCATGAGTGATTTGCAAGGATGAATTAGAGATCTTCCCTTAATATCTTTATTGGAAAATGCTAGTGGGTACAATACGAGTATAATATAGTAGTACATGAGTGTCGTACAAACTTTTTCTCATGGGAGGGGTGTCGTACAATCTTGAGCAATTAAATGGCGTGCTACTAAAGATAAATAATCAATTATCCACCCATTCATTTCCTAGGGGCATTACTGGAAATACCACTTCTCTCAAGGGGCCGGCCCAAAAGATTCCCCCATATGGAAATGCTCACTTCCAGATCCTACATCATGCCTTTCACCCGCTCCATGTCCCCTCACCAATGTGTGGGCCCCACCATGGAAGCCCTCGCAAGGGTGAAGTTGTCATGTGCCTCCACGTATATAGAGGATTGTCCTCAACCCCATCTACCAACCTACACACCCACTTCCCCCACTTCAATAAAAACTCTGCCAATTTCGGCGAGGCTCCATTCCCCCAATGATTACGATGAGGTACTAGCGGCCATATGCGGCGGTGTGATCCTCGCAAGCCTCAAGACGCTCGCGGTAACGTGGAGGGTGACGGAGGCAGCACGGTGGCTTGAGAAGAAGAAGCCCCGACAGACGACACATCCTTGGGCTCAGTAAGTTTGGGAGCAGGCTCAGGATGGAGAACCACTACGAGGAGTTCGAGGTTGAATCCGGGGACTCCGACTTGGAGCTCAGGCATGATGGGGTGGCTGATAAGGATAACAACCACAAGGTTGTGGAGATTAAGCCGTTAGCTACCGTCAGGATGTCCCTGTCCAAAGGTATCGGTCCCATGTCGTGATAACTGCTTTTAATCCGTGTATTAGGGTTAGTTTTCATCCTGTTTGCTGTAGAACATATTGTACTACAACAATTTCTTCTTCTTAGGTAGGACACAAAGGTTTGAAACCGCATATAAGCCTGGCCACAATAGACATTTTCTATTATCATGTGGTTTACACTTATGTTTCCTGGTTTTGTGTGGTTTAAGCTTGTATGCTTTTTAATTTCACACTATTTACACTCCTTTTCTCTCTGTAAATTGAGTGCCGACAAAAATTTATGTATTGATCCCATGGTAACAATGCAATATATGCATCAATCAGCCGAGAAAGACTTGCGGCCCCATTGTTAGGTAGGACAAAGGTTTATAAGCCATGTGTATTGTTAAATCTTGGATATTCATAAAATTTTGTATTTATGGTTTGCAAAATGTTAGATCTCCATACACATGGTTAGTTCAAGGATGCTATGAGAAATTTGCAATGCTAACTTACAATTTATATAACTACCATATGATAATGCTGTCAATTGCACATGAAGTACATGCAAGTAACTCAATGGAGTAACTTTTTGTTTCTTTGAGAATAATGGAGTGACTAGCTATAGGTGATGTACAAAAATTCTAAAGTTATAAACAATCATTTACAAGAAGATATTGGTTCAACTTTTGGTTGGATGAACTCATCCAACAAACCCAGACGGAGGGAATATGAAAGTAGTAATAAAGCCATACTATAGGTGTGTACTACAATCTTGAGCTAATAAATGAAATAACTAGCTATGAATTATTTGCAAGTATCTTAAAATTACATAAAATCATTTATGACAAGATTTTGGTTAAACATTTGGTTGGATGAACCCGTCCAATAAACTCGGACGGGCGGAGTATGACCGTAGTAGTACACTCATGCTAGAGGTGTGTTATATAAACTTGAGCTAATTAATAAGTGGAGTAAGTAGCTATGAGTGATTTGCAAATACCTTAGCATTACACACAATCATTTATGAGAAGATTTTTTTAGCATTACACACCATCATTTATGAGAAGATTTTTGGTTAAACGTAGGTTGGATGAACCCGTCCAACCTACACAGGCGGATAGTGTACGACAGTAGTAGTACAGTCATACTGTAAGTGCGTAGTTCAGTATTGAGCTAATAAATGAAGTAACTAATTATGAGTTATTTGTAAGGATCTTAAAATTACATGCAAACATTTATGAGAATATATTAGTTAAACGTCCATGGGGAGGGGCGATGACTATGAGAAGGTATTGGTTAAATGTCACAAGTGTGTAGTACTATCCTCACGACCCTCAAGCCGCCGACGGTGATGCGGAGGGTGGTGGAGGCGGTGTTATGGCCTGATAAGAAGGAGCCCTGGTGGCGTGGTGGCGGAAGTCGATGCTTCATGGGGCTAGGCGGGCTTGGGGTCGAGCTCGGCTTCGACAACGACGACGTGGGCTTCAAGGCCAATTTCAAGGAATTAGGTTAAGGGCTAGACCATTTTTGTTTCTCAGCCAGGTTTGCCTGATTAGGCTGGTAGGCTAGTTTCGGCACTATTCCTTCAGAGAATCAATTTTGGTTGCTAGGTTGTCGATCTTGTTATTTATATTTTTTCGTGAGATTTGACTGTGATTCTTATGTTTACTATTTATAGCCAAAAGGGATTGAAAATCTACAGAGAAGGGGTTGAATTTCTCCGTTTTGTATGGAGGTCTTGGCCTTTTGGGTTGTTGCCTTGTTTTAGATGGTTGTAGATTTGCATGGGGATTTTTCTATACTTGGTTCAGTTCTCAGTCTGAAGGATTATTCTGGTAATTATTGAGTCCTACTAGAAAACAATCCTTGATTTTGCATCGTCGATAATGAGATTTTTGTCAGGTGGTCGATATTGGGATTTGTAGATTAATTATTATAGAATGATGGCAAAGGTATATATCATGTGTTTGTTTATCAAAAACAGGATTTCTATAAGTTGTGATTTACTTTTTTTGTGGGTGACTAATGCTCTTACCCAAACCTAAAGAGGACTGCACCAATGATGGTTCAATGTTCATAATAATTGTGATATCATACATATGAATTCATGTCCATGATGAAATTAATTACTTTTTGTGAGACAAGCTTGTCTTTCTTCCTCTCTCTTAGCAATGACATCGATCTTCCATTGCAGATGACTTAAGCACCATGACTACAAATGATGTTGATGGTTCTGCACAAAGGTCAGCAAAGAGGAAGAGTAAGAACCAATTCATGGGTATCCGGCAGCGCTCCCGGGCTAGGTGGGGTGCGGAAATTAGAGATCCTATCAAGGGTGTCCGTCTCTGGCTTGGTACTTTCAACAGTGCGGAAGAAGCTGCAAGAGCTTATGATGTTGAAGCACGCAGGATCCATGGCAAGAAGGCCAAGATTAACTTTCCAGAGGAACCAAAACTTCCTCAGAAGAGTCGTGCTCCCCCTGCTTCTCCCAAAGTACACAAGCCAAGTGCAGCACAGGAACATAGTTTCATACCAGCATTCAACAACCTTGTCAACCAAAATGCTTTTGTCTACCCATCTGCTCACTTTGCATCAAAGCAGCCGCTTGTTCAGCCTGAGAATGTGCCATTTGTTCCTCCAATGAGCACTATTGCCCCTGTTGAAGCTCCTGTTATGAATATGTACTCTGACCAGGGAAGTAACTCCTTTGGCTTCTCTAAGTTGGGTTGGAAGTATCACACCAAGACTCCTGATATATCATCCATTGCTCCCATTTCTACCATCGCTGAAGGAGCAGAACCTGCGCTTGTCAAGAATAACACCTACAACTCATCGGCGCCTCCTATTATGGAGAATAATGTTGTCAATTTCGAACCTTGGATGAGATATCTTATGGATGATAGCATGGATGAGATGATTGATAGCCTACTTAATTTTGATGTGCCTCGGGATGTCATTAGCAACAGGACCTTTGGAGCTTCGATGCCATGCCCATCCGTGGCCAATTTTTCTGTGGGAAGCAAACCTTGTATATCGGGACAAAGGGTAAGCCTTCAATTTTGGATGTTCAGTCCGAGATGATAATCTTTTCATTGCTCTGAACTTTTTGTTTTGTGTTTCAGGAATAAGGCTATGAAGATTGGAAAGCACCCTATTGTCCCCTCTGGCTAGCATATGCTTATGTCCAAGCTTAGATGCAAAAATGTTGCATCACAATTCTCTATTGTAATCGACCCATTACCTAGTTGACTGTTGCTATGTGGCAACCATTTATGAGTCCGATGAACCGTTGTCTTGTCTTTTGCCAACTTTTATGTCGTCGCTACCATTTCTGAATGTGAAGAACATGAATCTGTGTCTAGTTTGCTTTAATCTGTGCAGTTCTTCGCATTTTATTTCCTTTTGGATGTTTATTTATTTTTGGAGATAAAAGTAGTACTCGGCTTGTATTGAATTTGGTGTCAAGTTTACTTTAATATGTGCACTTGATTGCCTTTTCCTAGTTCTGGAGTACCAGATTTACTAATCCTTGATACTAGATGTGTATGTGTGATCATACGTGGAGTCATTCCTTCTACATGTAGTTCTTCTCACCGATATAGTTAACTTACACAAACATTTAGTGCACCTACTAATTCAAGATTTGATGGATCTGTTCCATTTCAGTGCATTCTTGATTTATTGCTATAACCTTCACAAACTTTTAATGCATTTTAATTCCCTCAACACCTCTCAATGTGAGAAGACAGATGAACCACATATACGTTTCACTTGATTTATTGCCATAACCTTCACCAAATTGGAGGTCTCATGTCACTACCATGTTAGGTCCTTGATTTAATTTAACGTCAGCATAAGTAGTGCATGCCGCCTTCTTATGATGAGCATGTTATTATTACTCGACAATCACATGGCGCTCATCATAGATAGTTTACACGGTGGCTATTTTATTACTCACATGGAGGTTGGTTTTCATTATCCGCGGATTATCAGGAAGCAGGTCCCTTCGGTGATCAGGTCTGTGTAAAGAATTGGTTGTCACTTACATGGTTCTCTAACATGTATAATTCTACATAAAAGGAGAAGGTGAATGACTCATGGTCGAGATTAAATCAAAGTGAGGTATGAAGACAACTTCCATGCGAGTGCTTTTACAGCTACCAACCGTGCAAACAAGCTCCAAACTAGTTCGAGCAGGCCAATAATTATTCAAATCTTCTTGTTGTTTTGACGATTGATGGCTAGAGCTAGCTGGAAGCTGTTATGGAGAGCCAATTGTTTTCTTCCTGATGACTCCTAATTCTAGTCCAATCATCCAACTATGTGGGGCTACCATTTTATCATTGCACTTGTCTTGTCCCCGTTTTAAGGACAACAATTGTGTTTTTTGAGTTCCTTGAGAAGGGCATTTTGGTGACCGGGCTCCATGGAGACCGGAATTTTTGAAAAAAAAAATCAAAAGTCAAAATTCATGATTGAAAAACAACTAAAAATATATGCAAGGATGCAAAGCTGAAATTTATATGTGTGTGAAAATTCAGGAGGAAATACCTTGAATGTACAAAAAAATCATGGACTTTGAGGATGAATAGTACCATGTGCAAAAAAAAGTCACTCAATGCATGGATGTGCTTTCTTTGCTGGTGGGTTTTCCATCCTAATAGATACCAAATTATATTAAGCTAACAATAACAAAGTAGATTTTATTTTTCATAATATAGTTTCATTATAATCAACATATTTGATCTGTGTTGACTTTACACATTCTTAAGTGCACTATGAAAAAAAAATAGAAACTTGTCTTATAAAACTATTCAAATTTCATTGTATGTCGAGTGTTTGTTTGTATGCCTAGAGTCAAACCATGGGCTCTCGGCTAAGAGATATACTCCGAGTCATACTCGGATAAGTTAAGCACACGGGAATGAGATGTTGTTGCTGAGTTGAAGTAACAAAGAACACAACGAAGGAAGCATACTCAAGAAAAACAACACACGCCAAGAGCTAAACACGGCAAATAGATGCCACGTGCCATGTCTGTTTGCGCTTGATTTGCCGCGACCTCAGCCCGGGCGCTCCGCATATATTCTCAAAAAATAATTCCTCCCGTGTAATTTACATCAATCGATGTGCAGGCCTCATTTGTTAGTGACTGCTACTTGTGAGCTATGTTGGGATTTTCCCCCAAAGAGGAGGGGAGATGTAGTACAATAAAGATAAGTATTTCCCTCAGCGAGAACCAAGGTTTATCGAACCAATAGGAGAATCATGCAAAGACTCATGAGCATCACCTGCACACACAAAAAGAAATGTTTGCACCCAACGCGGGCAAGAGGATTGTCAATCCCCTTGAATTCGTTACTTGCAAGGATCAAATTTTGTAGTGGTAGATAGATAAATTGCAAAACAAAATAAAAGAAATAAAAATGCAGCAACAATAATTTTGTTTTTATATTGTGATAAAGGTAGACCAGGGGGCATAGTTTTCACTAGAGGCTTCTCTTGAACACATAGCATACAATGGGTGAACAAATTACTGTTGGGCAATTGATAGAAAAGCACATATTTATGATGATATCCAAAGCAATGATCATGTATATAGGCATCATATCTGAGACAAGTAGACCAATTCATGTCTGCATCTACTACTATTACTCCACCAATCGACCACTATCTAGCATGCATATATACTATTAAGTTCATAAAAACGGAGTAACGCCTTAAGCAAGATGACATGATGTAGACAAAGTAAACTCAATCAATATGAATAAACCCCATTGTTTTACCCTTAATGGCATGAATACAAATACGTGTCTTGTCCCCTTCAGTCACTGGGATATAGAGCACATCAAGATTGAACCCATTACAAAGCACCTCTCCCACTGAAGATAAATCAATATAGTTGGTCAAACCAAACGGATAGATCAGAGAGTAATGCAAACTTATAACAATCATGCATAATAAAGTTTAGAAAAGACTCAATTACTTCTCATAAATATTCAAATCATAAACCCACAATTCATCGGATCCTAACAAACACACCACAAAAGAAGATTACACTACTAGGAAAAACCTTATACATAAAATTTTATCAGTAGCATTGTCTAAAAGGACCCGCTACTGCTAATTAGCAATAGCACGTTCTCGCAAAGAGCGCTACTGCTATTTGGATAGTAGCAGCATGGCCAGGTGAAAAAGCGCTACTACTATAATTGCCACACCGTTGCCGGTAGGCTAGATATAGTAGTAGCGCCCTTCGGCAAACCACGCTATAGCTAACAAAGTAGTAGTAGCATGTTTTTAGGTTAAGGCACTACTACTAAGTTTGAACTTGGCCACATAGCAGGCCCAACATAGTAGCAGCGTGAATTAATAGCAGGCGCTGCTGCTACGGCCAGTAGTAGTTGCGCTTGTCCCTAAGCCGCGCTACTACTAAACCAAACTTATCGTCTTCCTCTGCGCGGCCGACCCTCCCTCTCCACTCTCTCCATCTCCCTCTCCACTCTCTCCCCACGCCACGACCTCGTCACCCGCCGCCACCGGAAGAGATCACCCGTGCTCCTGCTCCTCTTCCACCGAGGTATCTCCTCCCTCCCACCTCTCTCCCTCCTTCTCCTTCCACCTCCCTCTCCCTCCCATCCTCCCTCCTACCTCCTCCCTTTCTGGCCTGCCTCGTTCGTCCTCCTCCTACCTCTCCTTCCCTCCAATCCCTTCCTCCTGCCTCCTCCCTCCTTGCCTTGTTCGTCCTCCTCCTCCCTAAACCTCCCTCCTCCTCCCTCCTTCCTCCCGGTCACCTCCCTCCATGTATCTGTTGGGGAACGTAGTAATTTCAAAAATTTCCTACGCACACGCAAGATCATGGTGATGCATAGCAACGAGAGGGAAGAGTGTGTCCACGTACCCTCGTAGACCGAAAGTAGAAGCGTTAGCACAACGCGGTTGATGTAGTCGTACGTCTTCACGATCCGACCGATCAAGCACCGAACGCACGGCACCTCCGAGTTCTACGCACGTTCAACTCGATGGCGTCCCTTGAACTCCGATCCAGCCGAGCTTTGAGGGAGAGTTCCGTCAGCACGACAGCGTGGTGACGATGATGATGTTCTACCGACGTAGGGCATCGCCTAAGCACTGCTACGATATGATCGAGGTGGATTATGGTGGAGGGGGGCACCGCACACGGCTAAAAGATCTAAGAGATCAATTGTTGTGTCTCTAGGGGGTGCCTCCCTCCCCGTATGTAAAGGAGTAGAGGAGTGGGAGGGGGCCGGCCACCCTTGGCGCGCCCCATGAGGAGTCCTACTCCCACCAGGAGTAGGACTCCCCCCTTTCCATGTTGGAGTAGGAGAGGAGAGGGGAGGAGAAAGGGGGAGAACGGAAAGGGGGGCGCCGCCCCCTTCCTAGTCCAATTCGGACTGGGGAGGGGAGGGGCGCGCGGCTGCCCCTTGGCCGCCTCTCCTCTTCCACCAATTGGGCCCATGAGGCCCATTAACCTCCGGGGGGGTTCCGGTAACCCCCCGGTACTCCGGTATATATCCGACAACCCCCGGAACCATTCCGGTGTCCGAATATAGTCGTCCAATATATCAATCTTCATGTCTCGACCATTTCGAGACTCGTCGTCATGTCCGTGATCACATCCGGGACTCCGAACTACCTTCGGTACGTCAAAACACATAAACTCATAATATAACTGTCAACGAACTTTAAGCGTGCGGACCCTACGGGTTCGAGAACTACGTAGACATGACCGAGACATGTCTTTGGTCAATAACAAATAGCGAAACCTGGATGCTCATATTGGTTCCTACATATTCTATGAAGATTTTTATCGGTCAAACCGCATAACAACATACATTGTTCCCTTTGTCATCGGTATGTTACTTGCCCGAGATTCGATCGTCGGTATCTCAATACCTAGTTCAATCTCGTTATCGGCAAGTCTCTTTACTCGTCCCGTAATGCATCATCTCGTAACTAACTCATTAGTCACATTGCTTCCAAGGCTTATAGTGATGTGCATTACCGAGAGGGCCTAGAGATACCTCTTCGACAATCGGAGTGACGAATCCTATTCTCGATCTATGCCAGCTCAACGATCACCATCGGAAACACCTGTAGAGCACCT